ATAAAACAAAAGTATGAATTAAAAATAATCTAGCATATATACTATACTATGCTAGTAGTTTAATTTTTTTTAGTAGCATGTATTTTTTTAAAACTTATTTTATTATATATTTAGTACAGGGTCTACAGGTTCTCACTACACAGATTGGACTTGTGGTGATCCTTCCTGTTTTTCAGCCTCCCAAGTGCCGGGATTATAGGTGTGTTCCACCACGCCTAGTCTCAATTGAGTCTCAGCACGCCCCAGGGGCAGGGTCGACAGAGAAGGCTGGGGATCAAACCCCTGGCCCCTGCATCAGACTAAGCAGGAGCTTTAATCCACTGAACTGTTTGACTGCCCCCCCCTTTAACTATTAAGAAGAAGTAATAATCCTGCTTTATGGATGAGAACATCAGAGCCCAGAGAAGTTCTATAACTTTTGCAAGACCATTTAATTAGAGCAAAGGCTTGAAATCAAGTTTCCTGATGCCATTTCTTGCTCCTCCTACCATAAACTTCTAAGGAAATACATATGGAAATTATTTGTATAATGAGTTACTCTATAATGGTGACTTGTTATATAAAGTGACAGAACCCTGCCTGAACTCTTCAGAATGGAACAAATCAACTTGTAGAAGTGATGCATGTTAATTTAATAATTATCTGCACACCTTGCAAAATCATTTCAATGATAGGAAATTGACCCTGCTCCATATTATGTAATCATTACCCACAAAGAGAAAAAAATACACAAATAATCATAATGTGAAAATACAAAGTCATTCAGGAATAGCAAATGCTAAGAACATGGGAAAATGTAACTTCACGGAGTTAGGGACAGAGAAGTTAAAAACAGGATAATGGAAGGCTTCAAGAGGGAGATATTTGAGTTATGTCTTAAAGAAGGGGGAAGAGTTTTTTTTTTTTAAATACAAGGATAGGGGCTGGGGAGATGGTGCAGTAGAATAAGCATTTGCCTGGCAAGTGCAAGGGGCTGAGTTCAATCCCCGCTTACAAAAAAAAAAAAAAGACAAACTACAGATTGGGAGATTTCCACAACATAATTAACAAAGGCCCAGAGCACACCAATAACCCCTCTAGATCAATAAAAAATACAAGGATGTTTGCTACAATATTATCAAAGCAACAAATTCAAAGAAAAAAAATTTGGCGGAGGTACCAGGGATGAAAATCAGACTAAAAGCAAATATTCTTAATGTAGAGATATGATTAAGTCATGGCATCTTATTTTTTAATGAGGCAAATCTATTTTATCATCATTTAGAGAACTTCAGGCTTTTCCAGATAATACTAAATAAGCAAACTTGTTGACAATATGTTTAGTCTGACTGCATTTTTGACTTTTGGCTCTGTTTGTGTGTGTGTGTGTGTGTGTGTGTGTGTGTGTATCTGTGTGTGTTGCTGGGGATGAAACCTTGTGCATGCAAGGAAAGAGCCCTACCACTGAGCTACATCCCCAGCCCATTTTGGCATAGTTTTTTCAAATTATTTTTTACAAAAATTGTACATATAGGGCCAGCCACATAGCTCAGCAGACTAAAGCACCTGCTGAGGCAGACAAAGGGACTGGGGTTCAATCCCTGACATGCCATGCTGACATAGGGCGTGGTGATGCACACCTGCAATCTCAATGCTTGGGAGGCTGAAAACAGGAGGATCACTACGAGTCCGATCTGTGCAGTGAGACCCTGTACTAAATACATTTTTAAAAAATCTGTTCAAAAATTGTACATATATCATGTACACACAACATTTTTTGAAATATATGTACAAAGCTTTGCGCAGTGGCATTACTGGAGCCAATGAGGTTTATCCGAGGTGAGTGTGATGAGTTAATGTTAAACTAATGTGAAAAAATTACTCTGTTCAACTTTCTGTGACCCTGCTTCCTTAAGACCAAAAGGAGGCTTATTGTACTGTCGATAAACCATCAGTAGACTGAAAGTACCCAGAATAGACCTACAAAATAAATCAAAGCAAAGGTCAAAATGTATTTTAACTGTACACAATAACTGAAGTGTTGCTAAACAACTGGAAAGCGTCACTATGGTAGTCAAGACCACAGCATCGCAGATGTATGTTAAACGGAAACTAAACAATGCTCCTAGAAAGAATGTATGTTGAGCAATGGTCATGCTGTCCCTGAAGGTGCTGTTCTGTGTAAGATGATGAATTTGTTTGCCAAATGGGATGTGGTTTGTTGCTTTAAAAACCCCTTCCTTCCTGGGTACAGTGTTGTCGATCAGTCTTCTCCTGCATGAGAACTGACTGATAGCCCTGAGCTGGGTAATTAAAGGCTCATAAATTCCAATTTGGCCTCTCTGATTCCTATGCTGAGTGACCCATAACAGTGCAATTATTGCTAGCTGAAATATATGTACATTTCACACAGAACATATACATTACCTCACATGATTATATTTTTCTGATGAGAACACTAACAATCTGCAAGAACATAATATGCTGCCAAGTAACGTGGTAATGTAAAATTAGATTTAGCCACTCTGTGATGTATATATACTTTGAACACAATAGATGTATATATACTTTGAACACAATATTACACACAGTAAGTATATGTAATTTTATCTGTTAATTTATTCATTTATCCATTATTGATGGATACTTCAGGTGCTTGCCACTTTTCACTATAATTTGTAAAACTTTTAGAAGAAAGGGGAATAGCATGATTAAATATATTTTAAGCAAATTTTCTTGGTTCTAATGGTTGAATTAGAGAAGAGTCAGTAGAAGCTGGGAAACATGTTTGGGTATTGACATAATTTAAGAAATAAGCAACTAGAGTGGTAGGTTACTAAGACACAGATAATAAGTCTTCAGTTGCATCCAAGGACAGCTGGGTACTGTTAGAAGATATTGGGGACAGTCTATGATACTAATTCAGACAAAACAACTCTAAACATTGGGAATTCAACAGGTCTGAAAGGAGATATGAGTTTGGTTTAAATTTGTTTAAAAATTAACCCAGGTCAGGGATTTCAGTGGTGCAGTACCTGCCTCACAAGCATGAGTTCGATTCCCAGTGCCCCACAAATTAACCTAGAATAGGAGTCTCTCCAACATTAATTAAAATGTTGTTTTTTTTTTTTTTTTTTTTTGCGGAACCAGGGATTGAACTCAGGCCCTTGCACTTGCCAGGGAAGCACTTATTCCAACTGAGCCATCTTCCCAGCCCCAAAATGTTGAATGTTTAAGGTACTTATATTTTGTTTCTGATAGCAAAATATTTGAGTAAATTATGGTATATCTACTTCCTGGAATATTTTTTTTTTTTATTTATTTATTTATTTATTTATTTATTTATTTATTTGGTACAGGGCCTTATTATGCAGCTCAGACTCATAGCGATCTTCCTGTCTTAGTCTCCCTTGCACTGGGATATACAGGCATGCACCACCACACCCATTTTTGATGGCACAGCATGTGGTACTGGGGATTGAACCCGGGTTCTTGCACTTGCCAGGCAGGCGCTTAGACCGCTGTGCTCTCTCCCCAGCTACTTCCTGAAATATTGTGCAGTGCCTTAAAATTATTATTTTTTTGGGGGGGGGAACCAGGGATTGAACTCAGGCCCTTGCACTTGCCAGGAGGTGCTTATTCTACTGAGCCATCTCCCCAGCCCCCTAATTTTTAAGAAAACTTTATAACACCAAAGAGAAACATTAGATCATAATGAGTAAAAAATTGTACAGAAGATTAAAAAAAGAAAAAGAGGTTAAAAAACCCTGGAAGCCAATAAGTCACAATAATGGTGATCCTTATATACATTTCAAATTATTCTGCATTTTCTGTAATGAATGATTATGTTCCTTTTATAACAATAAAAACTTCATTATTTAAAGAGAACTACCCAATCATCAGCCTATCTCTTTTGTGATAGATGTCCTAACCAAAACTTACCTTTCTGTTCGATTTACTGAGAGTTGGAAGTAGTTCTTTGCCATTTCTAGCCTTTCCTGGTATTGAACAGAACCTTCTATGAGTCCCTTAAAAAAATAAAATAGTAAGAGTCTATCAGAACATTATTTGCAGAGTACCATAAATTTGTTCGCCTGTCAATAATTTGTTTGCAAGCAACTTTCATGAAGGCAGTATATTATGTATTGTTTAGAATCAAAAGGTCTAAGTCCTAGTCTGTTTTATCATTAATGTATCTGTTTAGGCTCTCATTCTTTTTCTTCAAATGAGAGGACTAGGCTAGATTTATTAGTCCCTAGTCATTTTCAACATTCAGAAAATGCCATTTCAACTGGCATCTTTCCAGTTTGGGAGATTTCCTACAAATTTCTATGATTTAATTACTAAAATATACTGAATGGACTAGCAACTGATTTCTAAAAGTACTGAAAGTTTGCCAAACACACCCCTAAGTAGCCTAATCTCACCATAAGTAGCTTTATTTTCTACATCTGTACTAATAGTGGTATTCATATTTAATATTTTACACTTTAAAAACTATATTAGAAGCAACAGAGGAGAGAGGAATGTAGCTCACTGGTAGAGTGCCTGCCCAGCATGTATGAGGCCCTAGATTCAATTCTTAGCACCAAACACACACACACACGCAAGCACGCACGAGCACAGACACACACACAATGGTATAATACAGTTTTATTACTACTGCACAATCTTTATAATTATCAGATTCTTGTGGATTTTCCTACTTCTTAGATCTTTCCTTACAAAAAGTTAGTCAAGTGACGGTTCTGAAGGTTATGGAACATAATACCAAGTTACTTTCAGTTATGGTTCTATTTACAGCGAGTACTATTATTTAGGTCTTTTTATATGCGTGTACAATAGTGTCCACATGTTTATTTTCAGTACTTGTGAGGTTGAATATTTTAAGAAAAATCTAGTGGATGTCTTTTTGTAGTTCTTTTATGTATAACTTTGCTAATTTTTCTATCTAGTATCTTCATATTTGCTTTATCAACTTTTGCAAGTTGTAAATCTGATATAAATAATAACTTTAACCATTGAACACAAATAGTATTTGATTTCTAAAATACTGGAGAGTTCACAAACAACTCTTCATTACTCCTTCAAAGACTTGGAATATCACTGAAATAGGTGCCCTTTTACCTGAACTATCATTATGTTATGCATTTAAATATGGACTGTAGGACTTTTAAGTCACTGGCTTGACTTTCTCCAGATTTTACATTTTTAAAAATACAGTGAAAGTAGGGCTGGGGACCTGCTTGGCAAAGGGGAAGTCCTGAGCTCAATTCCCAGTACCAAAAAATAATAAAAATACAGTATAAGTCCTACCTTAAAATAATCATTCTTTTTCAGACTTTCAAGGAAGCCAGCCCAGAGTGGTGAGGTAGTCACAAGGGACTTCTTGGTGTCCAAAAACTGTGGGCTACATTTGGAGCATAAGATCTCGAATCCATGAGCCTAGATGAGATAAGAATTTTTATTGTTATTTTAGTTCTTTTTTCTTGGTATCATCTAATTAAGTTTCTTTCTTAGTCATGCTCAAGAATTTATGTCCATGGGCATGTGGACAATTAAAATTCCTTTAAGTTATGAAAAATATGAATTTATCCAAACTTCTCAATCCCTACTAAAAACCATAAAGGAAAAGAAAATAATATTTTTAAAAAGAGTCTTGTCTTCTTCAAGACTTTTATTTTGGTCTTTTTAAGACAAGGTCTCACTACACAGTTTAGGCCGGCCTCAAACTCATAGTGATCCTCCTGCTTCAGCCACCCTAGTGCTGGGATTACAGGCCTGTACCACCATACCTGGCCAAAGAGATTATTTTTTCCTATTAACTACAAAACTAGAAATTTAGGGGGCCTGCCCGTTAGCTCAATTGTTCAAGTGCCTGCTTAAGCAAAGGCTCAGAATTCTGTGGTTTGATCCCCAGATCCTCCTGCCTTATAAGACCTGCCCTTTTTTTTTGTCCTGAGCAGGCAAAAAAAAAAAAAAAAAAAAAAAAAACCATCTGAACTTTTTATGAGCCGGACCCCCAAAAAAATTCCTTCTGAACTTTTGGCTGGGGAGATAGCTCAGTAGAATAAGCGCTTGCCTAAATGCAAGGCCCTGAGTTCAATCCCCAGTACCACAAAAAAAAAAAAGAAAAAAAAAGAAATTTAAACATTTGATTATGCAAAGTTTATTCTCTAAGAGAAATTATAAATACATTGAGCATGGTTTCACGCATAGGAAAGGGAGAGAATTAGTCCAAGATTCTTTAAGTTAAAAATATAACTGATTTATATTACTCAAACAGGAAGCCTTTCTGGCTACTCTAGAGGCTGTCTCCTTTAGAAGTAATGTATGCACTCAGATATCCATGTATGCATACAACTTCCTATTCTAATCTTTTGTCACACAGCAATATACATACTATTCTTCACCTTTTTATTTTTTAACAATTGAAGATCACTGAGAAAAAGCACACAAATTTATCTCACATGATCAATTAAACAACCACTGAAGTAGTTTCTAATCTTTTTCAATTACAGACATTGCTATCATGATATGCTTGTACATCACAAAAATGACCATTCTGGAGGTAGAAATCTTATACAAAAAGGTTTGTGAAATTTAAATTTTTTTTTTTGGTGGAACCGGGGATTGAACTCAGGCCCTTGTGCTTTCCAGAGAAGCATTTATTCTACTGAGCCATATCCCTGGCCTCTTAAATGTTGATGGATATTGCCAATTGTTTTTGAAAGGTTGAACCAATTTCTACTTCTATCAACGTTTACAATTTTGAAACTTGCCAATCTAATAGTGAAAAACACTACTTTGTAGCTTTAAATTGCATTTGTTTATTGTGAATAAGGTTTGACATTTTCAATTTAAGTTAAAAGACTGTATGGTTAAATACATGAACAGCTTTTGATTAACTGGCTAGTATTATCCTTTTCATATTGAATTAAAGGAACACTTTAGAAAAAAATCAGCCTTTTCCATTTGTACTGCAAATATACTTTTTCAGGATGTTTTCTGACAGTAAAGAAACTTTTTGCTTTGTTTTCCCAAATTTACATAGAGTTTTGCTATGCTGCCGAGGCTGGGCTCAAACATCATTCTGCCTCAGCCTCTAGAGTATTTGGGAGCTCAGCTAGAAATTTTTATATAATCAAATTTATCAATATTCTCTTATATCATTTCTGGTTTCAAGTCATGTTTTTAAAAGGTCTTTTTAACATCAAAAAACATTAAGGTTGAATAATTTATGTTTCAGATTGCAAAGCTGTTGCTTCACTGTATAAAAACAGCCCCAGCTGGTGCAGCCCATTATAAAGAGTATCAGTCTTCATCTGATATGCATTATATAGCTGACACATGTGTTCTTTAAGTATTTCAACCCATATCCAGGGAGAAATACAAGCAAGTTACAGTATTACATAAGCCTTATGATAACAGTGTTATCCTTGAATTACATAATTCTTATACCTAGTTTTTACCATGGATAATTTCATGAATTCTGAAATATCAGAACCTAGAGCTTAGTCTAAACATCATAAGGTATATAGAAAAAGATACACATTTTGTGTTTATCTGCAATCACTAAGGAGTTAAGGGGTATTTTCACCCAGGAGCACTGGTGAGTGGTTTCTTTTCCATCATAATAGCACTGCTAAAACTTGTTATCTCGAGTCTTTCGTGTGCTGCTAACTGCAGATAGCTCTGCAGAAGTCACTTCACACTAGTTTATTTTGGGTGCCACTTTTCACTTATTTCTCATTTGCTACTTAGCTCATGAGCACATTTAGTTCTGAAGGGTCACTCACTGTCATCTTGATCAGCCAGCCATGCTTTTTCAATTTTGTCCCAACTTCAAGCAGACTACAGTAAACAACATCTTCCAAAGCTTCCTGAGAGCAGAGTCGGTCTGGTACACAATGACCACACTGTACTGGCCCGCAGCCACCAGGACCAAATCATGGAAGGCGCAGACGGCACCGAGGCTGTGAGGCTGTGTGCAGGCTGCAGGCCGGGGCGCACAAGCTCCAGGCCACTCGCAGCACCATGTTCGCAGGGCAGCTGAGGGTCGCTGTGTGGTGCCTGGCAAAAAGGCCTTTCCTATTTAGATTATAAAAGGTTTTCCTACAATTTTCTTTCAAGTTCAATGATTTAATTTTTTACATTTACATACGTCATCCAACTAAAAATTACTTTGGTATAGGTTTTGAGGCAGCCAACTTAAATTTTTCAGATGGTTTTCTAGTCTAACACCATTTACTGAATAATCCACATCTTCCCATTTGAAATGCTACATTTCACTACATTTTCACAAATAAGGTGTATTTCTAGACTTTCTATACTGTGCCATCATTCTCTTAAGAGCACTTCTATGTAAAGGAGCAAAAACATTTTTCTCATTTAACATTACCAGCTTCATGCCCAGTTCATGGGCTCGGTACTGGGGGTGAGATGGAGGTGGCAGCCGGTATCCACTCCGTCGGTCTGGCACAAACCTCTGTTGTGCCAACTGTGCGTAGAGACATTTAGTGAAAGTAACCTAGACATTGGGACACAAAATATGTGAGTGTTCCTTTGAAGTTGAAAATCTCATCATTTCACAGTTAAAACTAACAGTAAGTCCACTGAGGACCTTCCTATTACAGGAATAGCTTTATTGAGTAAAACTCATAAAATTTACCCTACTGCCTACCTTTCAGTTATCACTAAAGGAATTTTTACCACTAACAATAGTATATGGCAGTTTGAGAGTTAGGAGATAAAGAATAATTCTGAATTCTCTGGAAGAGATGAAATGTTTTACTATTAAGGAAATAGTTGGAGCACAAGATATATACTGGGGGGCTGGTGAGATGGCTCAGTGGTCTAAAGCACCTACTTGGAACAAGCTTAGCTAAAGCAGAGGGACCAC